TGAAAAGCTAGGGACAGGCTATACTGCTTTGGTAATGCCTCAAACAGGTAATAAATTCTTGGGGCTTTTTCTCCACTAAGTGGAGCCAAACTGGTTGGCTTCTGAAATCATGTATCATAACACATAAATTCTTAGTGAGTAACCCCACATTAAGAAATGGCTATTGGGCCAGGCGCAGTGGCTCATGCCTATAATTCCAGCACTTTGGGAGGCTGAGGCGGGTAGATTACGAGGTCAAAGAGATCGAGACCATCCTGGTCAACAAGGTGAAACCCCATCTCTACTAAAAATACAAAAAATTAGCTGGGCATGGTGGTGCACGCCTGTAGTCCCAGCTACTCAGGAGGCTGAGGCAAAAGAATTGCTTGAACCCAGGAGGCAGAGGTTGCGGTGGGCCGAGATCATGCCATTGCACTCCAGTCTGGGTAACAACAGCGAAACTCCGTCTCAAAAAAAAACAAAAAAAAAAAGAAAGAAATGGCTATTGATGTACCAGATTTTTACTTGAAAATCATGAAAGTATATAACACTTTTAACACTTAACATTCTTAACGGTTAAACATGTTTTTCATAAAAAGCTAAACTCTTAAGCTCCTCACAAATTTCTCTTTCTGAAATATCTTATTCCCCAAGATCCAGGTGGCTGAGACAGAAAATAAGGGGCTTACCAACTCGTGGGTAAGATGTATTATGAACGCCATTCAGACTAGGACAGTCTTCTTTTAAACATACTCTCTTATAGCCACCTTCTTCAATTTTAGTTCCACTTCCACAGGTTGGGCAAAACTTATATCGACTGTGCCAGGCAAGAACAGATCTTGCTTGAGCTACAACCCCTTTAAAAAAAAAAAAGCACGAAAAGTTTAATTCTGTGACAAATTCAAAACAATGTATAAGTAAATTTTCTCAAGCTACCATCAGAATAGCTGTGTGATCAGGGGTTTTAGTATTTCTATTTTTATAATGCGTATTTTTCTTTTAAAGTAAAATATTTAATTTCCTGGATGACAAAAATTAGATTTAACTTCAGTATGAATAAAATATAACTCTCACATGATATATAACATATATAAGATAGATGTTAGTACATCTATTTTATATACTATATTAGATCAGGCTTTTACTGTAGGTGATTTTAAAATGTGGGATATTCATGATTCTATGAATCATGAGTTTATAAATTGATTTTACAATAGTGATTTTTATAAATCACTATTTATAAAATAGAGTGAGTTTATAAACTGATTTTGGAATAGTGATTCTTACAAAAATATGCCATGAAGGCAGCAGTTCTTAAGTGAGACTTGTACTCTAAAGGAAATAGTACTAGGAAACTGTAGGAAGCTATCACCACTCTCTTGGTGACCATGCCACTGATGGTCCATGCTATTGTGGGGCACATTCTGTTTTCAACTGGAGACTGCAGGTACACAGCATAAAACATGCTGCATTTACTACAGTCATGGTTAACTTTGTTTACAAAAAAATGCCTAATAGAATAAATCTTAAAATATATAAACTTTAGCTATAGGTTTTACTCTGGTCGTTGAAAAAAGAATATGATGTGGCCAGATATATTACAGTTAAGGCAGTAAGACTAGAAATGCTACATTTTAAATGCTTGACAGAGTTACCTCCCCACCCCCAAAATACATTATTTGGTCTACAGATTTTTGAAATGAACAATAAGAAAAATTCTAACATCATTTAAACTGGGAAAAACATAAATAAAACAATTCTAATGAACAGATATTACATTTTTGCCTACTACATGACCTTATAATATGTAATTTACACTACAGTATTAACATTATTTCAGAATCATCACAATAAGAAAAGTTAACATTTACTGAGTACTTACAATGTGCCAAGCATCATGCCAGGAATTTTATATAGATTATTTAATGTTTAGAGCAATCCTAAAGAAGATAGGTACTACTACTATTTTCTGGAGGAGTAAACTGAGTCACAGAAAAGTTAACTGTAAGCTCATAAAGCAAGTAAGTTAAAGGGTCTCAGTTTTCCTATAAGGGAAAAAAAGGAAGCAGTTACCTCATTTATCAGATCTTTTTGCTCTTGATATATACAGGTCTAAAGAAAAGAAATTTTCTTTAAAAAGTTTGATGATTTTCCACAGGTATGAATAAAACACACCACATCAGACTTTGAGGAGGAGACATTTAGACAGTCTCTGGAAGGACCTACATCACCTATGGGAAAGTGGTCACTGACAAGTGACCTCTTCCTAACTTCCCATTAACTCATCAATCTACCATAATCTGGCTTCTGTTCCTTTCACTTCACTGACATTTCTCTTAACAAATTTGTCAAAGACAAAGATTCTTAAAAAAAAAAAATGTGCTTTCATCTTACTCAAGTTCATAACAGTATTCAATACATTTGACCACTCCCTCCTGGAAATACTGTGCTCGCCTGGTTTCCCTGAGGACAGCCTCTTGGTTTCTTCCTACCTCATGGCCACACCATTTCCAACTCCTTTGACGGCTCTCCTGGTTGTAGCTTACCTTTAAATTTAGGGGGATTCAGATCTGATTCTGAGAGTATTTCTTGCTTGCTCTCAACTCTCCAAGTAATCTCAGTAGTTTTTTGGGGTTTAAGTATCTTTGTGTTGATGACTCCTATATGCTATCTCCAGTTCAGACAGCTCCTGATTCATTTCTAAAACTTAGTATGCCCAAAAGTAAACTCTTATTTTATTTACTCCAAATCTGTCCTGCTTTCCTTGCTCTACTCATCATCTTATATTATCAAGAAATGGTATCACTATCTACCAAATTATTAAAGTCTCTAGCTTAGCCGTCATTCCTAATCTTTTCCTTCATATTAGTATATATCCCATAGTCAATCCAACAGTAAAAACCATTGATTTTATCTCCAATATTTATCTTGCACATATCCTCTTTCCTCCATTTCTACTATCAGTACCTTAATTCATGCCATATCACCATAATCTTGCACTTAAAAGGCTCTTAACCTACAAATCAAGCTCTATCCATTCTACCTCAAGAATATCTCAAATTCTCCCTTCATCTCCATCTCTCCTGCCTCCGTTCTAACTCAAGCCATTGCAGTCTCTTACTTGGGCTATTGTAATAATACTCAATTCCATCTTAACAAGACTCCCAGCATTCACACTTAATTACCTACATGTGTACACTTTATGCTCTATGACACAGCCAGTGTGCGCTTTTTGTTTTGTTTTGTTTTTTTTAAAATATTTTAAACAAAGGTTAGATTACATTTAAATGGCCTTTAGACTTAAACCCTAATTTCCTACCATGGCATAAAAAGCCCCAGCAACAGAAAACAGAACAAAACAGTGAAGGTCTTTGCCATCATGTTTGCTGTGTAGCAGGACCTCAAGAATTATTCACTTAAAATCAAATGAGATCATTATGTACCAGCCTCGATTCCAGGAAATCAGCCTCGGATGATTAGAACTAACTGCCCAGGAGAGTAGTCCCATAGGGTAAGAACTTTAGTAGGAGGTTTCTGATGAAGACAGTCTAATTTCACTGCTTACTGGAAAAAGTGTGCCCCTGGAAACAGCAAATACAACTCCAACTCAATTCTAAAAACCAGATTTTAACAATGAAAATAAGCAGTGCTTATGTCTTACCAGCTTCTTTTTCTTTCAATTGCAGAAGAGCTGGCATTGGAGGATGAAGAAAATAACAATTTTCATGTCTTTGTTTGAATTCTTCAGCAGCAATAGGATCTATACCTAGAGCAAACCAGGCAACCAACCCGTCTTCCTCCTCTCTTGGGACTTCACCAGCAAAATTAAGTAGCTTTTCTTTCATTTCAAGTTCTACTCCAAGGAAAATCAAGGTGATCTTCTCAGGCTGGGCCAAATAATCCTTTATATCTGTGTAGTTCAGCTGACAAAGCCTGACTTCGGGTTGTTGGAAACTTTCTTTATTGCCACCTAGAGTGACCAAGGGATTTAAATCTGAGAAGAGAATAAAAACTGTGGCTGGATGGCTTTCTTTAGCTAGTAGCCAGTCAGAATTATTTCTCTTTTCACTTTTCCGGTCCAGTAGTGTTTTGCTAAAATAATTTTCACATTCTTCCACTTCATTCGTTAGGAACCAATGCTTCTTCCCACCTTTGGCAGGAGTTAGTAAATCAGCTATGTGCTTATAACCCCAAAATGCAGCAATATCCAGTGCAGTCTGCCTTGATTTATTGACAAGTGATCTGTCACACCTATAGATAAAAGAAAAAATTGGGGAGAAAAAGTAAAATATGAAGTAAACACTTTCTCCTTTTATTTCAATAAAATATTTCCAGTTGCACATTATAGTTCTTTTTAATGATTATATACATTTTTTTTTTCTTCTGGTCCGTAGTTTACTATTGGGAAGGTTAAAAGAATTATAATCATAAATGGCAAAAAGAGATAGTGGAGATTTATAATTTCTGGACAATTACTTACAAAATAAAAAAGCATTATGCTTTATGTACTATAAAGAGATACCAAAATTCTACAAGAAGTCCTTGGTAGTCATAGTGAGACTTGCATTTCCTATTTGGGAGAAAAATATTAGACTCCTCATAAAATTGCTTTGCTATAAAGTAATAATTTCTGAATGAAAAAGGTTACAATGTTTTAAGTTAGAAAAATTATGCTACATTTTAACATAAATTAGCCAATGAGTTATCTACTAGTTCAACAATATAAATATGAAAACAAGCAAAATTTAAAAGTAAATATGTAACAAAGAAATTAAACCACAAACCCTTTCAAATAGTACAGCCTAAAATGTTTACCCTTTCTCAAGCAGAAATTGGACAATCTCTGGGTGCCCATTCCTTGCCGCATACATTAAAGCTGTCCAGCCATTTTCAGAAGTTTCATTGAGAAGAGATGGAGAGTGACTCAGTATTCCTGTTAACTTGGCAATATCTCCTTCAGCAGCTGAACAGTGAAACTGTGTAACTATTTCTTGCTTTGGACTTCTTTTTACAGAAGACATTTCTTACTTAAAAGAAGAAAAATAAGGGACAAAAGCTTATTTATAACTGCTTTATCAATGAATGATATTGCTAGAATAATAGCAAGGGCTTCCAAGGCAATACACTCTTCAAAAGGCAATCATTATACAGCATACATTTCAGAATGTTATCAGTTTAAAATTATAAATACAATGTAATTTTTATGTCCAAGGGAGTTACACAAAATAATGGGGTAGAGACCTGAGGGGGAGAGCATTAAAACAGATGGAAGTAAAGGCAGAGATTTTCTAAGTGTCACATGAAAACAGTTTATTGTTTGACCTTGCACAATTAATTCTGTAATCCATCTAGGATCTATTTTTGTTCATGGTGTGAGGTAGGGGTGTCAAGATACTTTTTTACTCCAATGCATAATCCATTGGCTCAGCATTATTATTTAAATTAACATGTTTGCCCCACTACACTGACACAAATATGTCAAAAATCAGATGACCATGTATTTTTGGTTCTTTATTGGAGAGTTCTGTTGGTCACTTTGTTGTCCGTGAATCATAGCAGTTTTAAAAAATCATTAATTTTATCTGCTTTGTCACTCTTTTGTTTCAGTGGGGGAAAAAAACTGAGAAAATTGTCCCATACTTCTTAAATATTGCTATTCATGGATTGCAGATGGCAGAGCATAAACTGAGCTCTTTTTTGGGGGGGGCGGGGAGGGTTGAAAATGGTTTGTTTCAACTGTTTGTGAACTTCTCAAAGAATTTTTTTAAGGTACAATTTTTTTCTATTAAATGCCATTAAGAAAAGATTTGAGATTCTAACTACATTTCTATCATTCTAAGCAGTAATATTTTTTAGCTAAAAAGACAAAGATTATAGCTCATAGCTTTTGATAGCTGCTGTCTCCTGGGTTCTGAAAGGGCAATCTGGTGGATGAATTGTGTAGCAGGAGTAGTATAAACAAAATTTAGGGAAAACAAGGAGTAAAGATTATTTTTTTTATTTTGGAGCTGTTCACCTGTCCTATTTGTGTCTTTCTGCTACTTATAAATAGGTTAAAACTGCTCACAGTCATAAAAACACTTGGATAAAACCTAATAGTGAAAATCTGTTTAGAAATGAAACTGTGGTAGAAGTAGTATCTCCATGAGAATAATTTTTTATTTATTCTAGAATTTACTTCGCTATTCCTTTCATATTGAAATTTCTAAATACTTTTTAGAAATCAAAGTATTTAGAGTAATTAAAGTATTTATGTTTTTATGCATAACAAAAGCTGTAACTTTTCAGGACTTGACTTTGAAGCACTGCTGTACAATTCCTGTATCGATCTCCCTTCCAAACTGTCTTTCTCTCAAGTTTATTTTCCATAAGCCCATATTACACAGTTTTTTTTCAGCTAGGTGTACTCTGAATAATATTTCACTGTTTCAGGTTCTGAGGTCACCAGCACTCCCTCACATTCTCACAGACACCAGGTGACTGCAAAATTGTCCTTCAAAACTGCAGCATCATTCACTACCCCCAGGGCAAAGCTTATGCATATGTTATTCTCTGGAGATAGGAAGTGGAAAATGTACACTTTTCCCTCTAGCTTTCTCAGCAGAAAAGCCATCTAGAGATAGTACCATTATTCATTCCAGAGACACGCATAAAGTCTAACACCCAATTGTACTGTTTGATTTACCATTTCAAGTTTCATTGACAGGTTATAGAAGGTAAGGATTTGAAGGCAGAATAAAGTGCTGCCCTTGTTTTCCAAGAAGCTCCTGGAATATTCCGAGAAATCATTTAAAAGAATATTAAATTTAAAGGGACACAGATTTTTTAACAAACCAACATCCACTTTTACTGACGTAACACGGGGCCCATGACTTGCGCATGCTCAGATACATCAAGTGGGGCAGGACAGGACCTCAAATAACGCTGTGTCACTGACATTGGAATTCGATCATTGAAAGAATTGCATCCACTCCCCGGGCTCTCAAAACAAATTAAGCGCCACCCGTGCATGGCCTCTGAAAACGGTAAAATGCATCGAGATATTTTACTTTCTTGACACTACTGTGAGATTCCTTTTTTGCAGGTGAGATCACACCCTGAGTACCACTTCCTTCTCCCCAACTCAGCTTGGGCAGGGAACTCTACCAACCTCAAGACCGCCTGAGCCTCCGCCCTGTCCCGGAAGCCCCAGCAAACGCGTCCTTGGCTCCCGCGCCTGCGCCCACCTACCCAGCGCGAGGCTGCGCCACGGACCCAGTAGGGCCGGGCAGGGCAGCGCGGGGACCAAAGAGCGCAGGGAATTGGTCACCGTCCCTAGAGGGGACACTGAGACGACTAACTTGCTGCTGCTTCTACTAACCCAAAGGTGACCACAGTAGAGGCAAGGAGGATACAGCCGAAGGATCAGGATATCCTACTTGCTTTTCCCCCCGCTCCGAAGGCAGCCTTCCTGACTTCCGGTGCAGCTCTGTGGTCTCTCGAGGCTTTATGGGAGTTGTAGTTTGAAGCTCACATGCTGTGCACGATGGGAGAAGGGGCGGAGATTGGAGGTGGAGGTGTTTGGAAGCCTGCGCGGGAGATCTCGTCCTAAAGGATTTGTGCTGAGTGAAGGGCTGAAAATTTTTCTCCTGACACTGTGATGTATAGACGGAACACAGTGCAGGCGATCGGAAAACTGTAGGTCTGAGGAAACGATTTTAAATTTAACAATGTCTCTAACCCAGTTCCCCAGCCCTTTCTCCAATACAGTCCAATGCAATTGAGTACTCATTCTTTCCTGTTAAATAATCCTGGAATATTGGCTAGACCAAGTCACTCTTAAACAAATTTTTTGGCCTCCGTAACACTTTAATCAATCACCCCACGTGAAAACTGGTATTATATATTGAGGCCTAACTCATTCAGTAGTCCTTTCAAAACTATGTATCAAGCGCCCACAAAACCTCCTTGGGTTGTGAGATTTAAATACGATAATGCATGGAAAGCTCTTAGGACCCTGTGAAGTGCAGAGCTGGCACCCACATCAAAATTCTTGTTGTTATTTTTCAGTTCCTCTGCTTTTATTCTCCAAAACCTATAGAAGTAGAGTCCAAGATTACAAAACTAGATGTTGGCTGTCTTATAACTTCCAGACAGGAGCTTTTTCCTTTGTTAAAGTCTCTCCTTGGTAATCAGCAACAGCTACAGGGTTTCTTAAGATTGATCATTGTTTCCCACCCAGATTTTACCCTTGGAAACTCCTCACGGTGAAGCTGTATGCACCAGTTGATATTGATCATGATGGCTTCTTCTAACACCCTGTGCTTTTTTTTTTTTCTTTCTTTTTTTGGGAGGGGAGTCTCACTCTGTCATCCAGGCTGAAGTGCAGTGGTACAGTCTTGGCCAACTACAACCTCTGTCTTCCTGGGGTTCCAGTGATTTTCCTGCCTCTGCCTCCTGATTAGTTGGGATTACAGGTATGCACCACCACACCGGCTAATTTTTGTATTTTTAGTAGAGACAGAGTTTCGCCATGTTGGCCAGGCTGGTCTTGAACTCCTGACCTCATATGAGCCTCCTGCATTGGCCTCCAAAAGTGCTGGAATTATAGGCGTGAGCCACTGAGCCCAGCCACACTGTATTTCTTTATGTGATTAGTTATCTTCAGGCTTTAATGATATCAATGACCAGACAGGCAGTCAGAAAGGATTAGTTACTTCACTTGGAGTACTCAATGTTGCATCCAAATATATGTTAGATAGATTAGTATAGTGAACCCTCATGTATTAATGATCCAGAGTCAATAATGATTAATATATATTTCTCCCAGTTCTTAGGATTGTTTTGAAGTAAATTCCAGTCCCTATATTGTTTTGATGATAAATATTGGAAATGTGCATTATGTCTAAAATATAAGGGCTTTGAAAAATAGGCTGGGCATGGTGGCTCACACCTGTAATCCCAGCACTTTGGGAGGCTGAGGTGGGTAGATCACAAGGTCAAGAGGTCGAGATCATCCTGGCCAAACATGGTGAATCCCCATCTTTACCAAAAATATAAAAATTAGCTGGGTATGGAGGCACACACCTGTAGTCCCAGCTACTCAGGAAGCTGAGGCAGGAGAATCGCTTGAACCCAGGAGATGGAGGTTGCAGGAGTTTGTAGTGAGCTGAAATTGTACCATTGCACTTCAGCCCAGGTGACAGAGCAGGATTCTGTCCCCACCCCAAAAAAGAAAAGAAAAACAATGCAGCTTCAATAGAACTAGTATGACATATGTAAGAGTAATTCTGTAATAACAGAAACATTCAATATAAAATTTACTAAGTTGCCTCAGAAATTTTATATATTTTCCAGTTGATTCACTTAAACAAACTCTCCACATTACATTTGATTTTTAAAAATCTATGGAATCCTTCCTCTTCCCTTTTTTTTCTGGCAGTTTATTTGCTGAAGAGTGATGATCATTTTTTCTGCAGTTTTCCACATTCTGAATTTTGCAGATTGCATTCCTGTGGTGTCCTTTTCCCCTGTATTTTTTGTAAGCTGGTGGTTAGCTTTATAGAATTACCCAGATTAAAGTGTGATTTTATTTTCCACAAAAGACTCTATAGGTGTTATTGTTTACTTTGTTTTGAATACTTTGTGTTCTCCTGTGGGGTCTGAGAACCCAGGAGGCGGAGGTTGCAGTGAGCCGAGATCACACCATTGCACTCCAGCCTGGGCAACAGGAACAAAACTCCATCTGTATTTACTCTATTCAATACCAAGTAAACTGAGAACATACGTGTTATCAAACTGATAACACGTATGATAAATATTATTAAAATACAGCAAATATAATTATGAGTATATGACTGATATATAATTATGATAAATATAAATGTGCCAATATATTTAAATATTAACTTTAAGATAAATATATTTGTTATAAACATACATTTTTCCATCAACATTTTAGCAATAGTTTTATCAGCCACTCATTATTGTCCACCATCATTATTTCCTTATGAGTTGCAAAATAGTGATATTCTAATTTGGTATTCACATTTACTAACAAATTATTTTATAATAAAGAACTTCATCTAATTATCTGTAGCTTATGTGGAAAGATAGGAAAAATATGTGAATTTCATAATTATTTCCTAATTTTCTGAATTAGTTCCCTAATATCCTTCAGGTTTTTAAATATATAAACATGCCTTGTTTTATTGTACTTTGCTTTACTGCACTTTACAAAGAGTACATTTTTTATAAATTGAAGGTTTATGACAACCTTGTAGCAAGCAAGTCTATAGGTGCCACTTTCCCAGCAACATGTTCACTTTGTAAATCTACCACATTTTGTAATTCTTGCAACATTTCACACTTTTCCATTATTATATTTGCTATGGTGACCTGTGATCAGTAATCGTTGACATTACTACTGTAATTGTTTTGGATTGCTGCAAACTGCACCCATACAAGTTGGCAAACTTAATCAATACCTGTTGTGTCTGTTCTCACTGCTTCATCCACTGGCTATTCTTGTCTCTCTCCCTCTCCTCAGGTCTCCCTATTCCCTGAGATGCAACAATATTGAAATTAGGCCAATTAATAACCCAACAGTGGCCCCTAAGTGTTCAAGTAAATGGAACACTCACACATCTCTCACACAATTTAAATCAAAAGCTGGAAATTATTCAACTTAGTGAGAAAGACATGTCAACAGACAAGACAGGTCCAAAGCAAAGCCCCTTCTACTGAAGAGTTCACCAAGTTGTGAAGGCAAAGGAAAAGTTATTGAAGGAAATTAAAAGTACTACTACAGTGAACAAATGAAGGGTAAGAAAGTGAAACAGCTTTATTGCTGATATGGAGAAGCTTTTAGTGGTCTGGATGGAAGATTAATTCATAGCAAAGTGCTAACTCTCTTCAGTTCTATGAAGGCTGAGAGAGGTGAGGAAACTTCAGAAGAAAAGTTGGCAGCTAGCAGAGGTTTGTTTATGAAGTTTAAGGAAAAAGCCCTCTTCATAACATAAAAGTGCAAGTTGAAGCAGCAAGTGGTGATGGAGAAGCTGCAGCAAGTTACCCAGAAGATCTAGCTAAGAGAATTGATGAAGGCAGCTGAACTAAACAGCAGACTTTGAATGCAGAAAAAACAGCCTTCTACTGGAAGAAGACGCCATGCAGGACTTTCATATTAAAGGGCAACAAATCAATGCCTGGCTTCCAAACTGCAAAAGACAGGCTGACTCACTAATTAGGGACTAATGCAACTGGTGACTTTAAGTTGAATCCAATACTTATTTACAAATTTGAAAATCCTGGGGCCCTTAAGAATTTTGCTAAATCTACCCTGCCTGTGCTCTCTAAATGGAACAACAAAGCCTGAATGACAGCACATCTGTTTACAGCATGATTTACTAAATTTTAATCCTACCGTGGACACCTGCTACTCAGAAGAAAAGAGTTCTTTCAAACTATTATTCTTATTTCACAATGTACCTGGTAACTCAAGAGCTCTGATGGAGATGTACAAGGAAATTAATGTTGTTTTCATACTTTCTGGCACAGCATTCTGCAGCCCACAAATCAAGGAGTAAATTTGATTTTCAAGTCTTATTATTAAAGAAATATATTTTGTAAGACTATGGCTGCCATATATAGGGATTCCTCTGGTGGATCTTGGTAAAGCAAATTGAAAACCTTGTGGAAATGATTCACCATTCCAGATGTCATTAAGAACATTTGTGATTTGGGCTGTGGGCAGTGGCTAATGCCTATAATCACTGCACTTTGGGAGGCCAAGGCAGGAGGATCACCTAAGGTCAGGAGTTCAAGACCAGCCTGGCCAACATGGTGAAACCCCATCTCTACTAAAATCACAAAAATTAGCCAAGCGTGGTGGCAGGAGCCTATAATCCCAGCTACTAGGAGGCCCTGAGGCAGGAGAATTGCTTGAACCCAGGAGGCAGAGGTTGCAGTGAGCCAAGATCACGACATTGCACTCCAGCCTGGGCAACAAGAGCAAAACTCCATCTTAAAGAAAGAAAGAGAGAACATTTCTGATTTGTGGAGGAGATCAAGCTGTCAACATGAACAGGAGTTTGGAAGTCAACCCTAACAGATGACTTTGAGTGGTTTAAGACTTCAATGGAGGAAGTAACTGCAGATGTGGTGGTAGTAGCAAGGTAATTCAGATTAGAAGTGGAACCCGAAGATGTGTCTGAATTGCTGCAATCTTATGATAAAATTTGAATGAATAAGGAGTTGCTTCTTATGAATGAGCAAATAAAGTGGTTTCTTGAGATAGACTCTACTTCCTGGTGAAGATGCTGTGAACATTATGGAAATAACAACAAAGGATTTGGAATATTACATCAATTCAGGTAATAAAGTTTGAGAAAATGGGGGTTTGAGAAAATGGACTCCAATTTTGAAAGACATTCTATTATTAGGTAAAATGCTATCAAGCAGCATCACATACTACAAAGAAAATTTTTGTAAAAGGAAGAATCAATGATGTGGCAAACTTTGTGTCTTATTTTAAGAAATTGCCACAGCCACCCCAGCCTTTAGCAAACACCACTCTGATCAGTCAGCAGCCACCAACATTGAGGCAAGACCCTCCACCTACAAAAAGATGATGACTTGCTGAAGGCTCCAATGATCATTTGTAGTTTTTAGCAATGAAGTCTTTTTAATTGATATGTACATTTTATTACACATAATACTATCCTACACTTAATAGACTACAGAATAGTATCAACATAACTTTTATATGCACTGGGAAACCAAAAAACTTATGTGCCTCACTTGACTGTGATATTTGCCTTATCCTGGTGATCTGAAATCAGACCCACAATATCTCTAAGATATGCCTGTATTTATGAACACATGGATGTTAACATTTTTAATGTATTTCAGGTTATTGAAGGCATTATTGTTTTGAAATATTTTTATAATATTTATTACCTTGATCCTCAAATTGTTTCTTACTTGACCAGTGGGAACCCGCTCAAGTGGGCTTCTGAGTTTTTTGGACCAGAACTCTGCAATGTTTGGTAGTTTACTTCCTTTCTGGTATGACAAAATATTTTAGGCTAAGCTTGTAAATATTTTGCTCCAGACCCAGAGGCAGGCATTTCCCCAAGGAGCTTTGTTTCCTTTTAGTGAGAAATGGTATTTAGATATGACAGTCTTTGTAGTTGTGCTCGTTGCTGAAGGGTTACTGAGTATCTCCATGCATGTAACTTTGTCCCAAGGAATTGAACAGTTACAGATCTTTTACAATAAGATTTCACATTTAAAGGACAATATGGTGTAATATCCATAGATATTAATGAAATAAAATGCTGTTTTCCTTTTATTACATTTCCGTTTAGAAAGTTAAGGCTACTATATACAAGAAAAAGTTAAAAATTCTAGCATTATCTTTGGATATTCTCCTTAATATGGACCCAACATATATTTTTAGCAATATTTTTCCCAGAATTTCCTAAATAAAATAATTCTGATCTAGACAAATTGGCCTGCACATTGCACTGACCTGGGATATCTCTTGCTGTCTCCCACCTCACTTCTTGTGCTCATGCCACTTTTCCTACCTTAAATGCTTTCCTTTTTCCAAATCCTACCTGCATCTCAAAGCCCAGCTCAAATACCACTTAATTGGATCTTCATTACTGTCCATAGACTTATCGGTTTCTTACCAGTATCTCCTTGCTCTTACCACTTCATTGTATGCTGATGCTTCCAAATTCCAGCATCTATATTTCTTTGCCTGATGGTTTCTTTCTTTTCACAAAAGGGCCTTGCTCTCCAGCTCAGCAGATCAGCAAAGCCAAATAATTAATACCTCTAGGGGCATGACAGGAATTGCTATCTGAATACCTCAGCCTTTCTCACCCTTAACTCAGAGGCACATGTCCTACACTAGCTGCCAGCTTTCTCCAAGGGGATCAAGTTCTCTTTATCTAGAGTGGACACGTGATTAAGGACCAGCTCTCTTTATGACTGCCTTCCCTTCCCTGTTTCCCTACCATTCCTCACATCTTCACTTCTCTACCACTTTTTTTTTTCTAGACACCCAATTTCATGTTAATCCTTGACCCAGGACTTGCTTCTTGGAAAACCTAAACTAAGACAAGGATATTTTCCCTCCTTTCAATTCATACCCTCAATTATGTGGTGATTTGCCTCCTCTGCATAGCTTGGGGAGAATCATTAACCCAATAATTAAGTAGATCCCTATTATCAGTTATTCTAGAACACACATTCTCTTGTCTTTATCAGAAAAGTGTTGTTACAAATCAGTGCATGAACTTTTGATTGTCCTTGAGATGAATAATTTGGAGTTCAAATTTTAAAGGACTATTTTTTTCCTGCCTGTAGCATCATTTTACAAAATGTCTTGTCCTTCACTTTTACTAGCCCTCTAAGACCACATGGACTTCTTGTTGTTTAGTTTTAGCTGCTTTGGAAAGTTACTTGGTTTCTTTTTTGAGTGCCCTGCAAATGAACACATAGATTCTTTCTTAAGGCAGAAGTATGTTAAATGTATTCTTCAAATTTAGTAAAACCCAGTCATTTTTCTCTCAACCAGTAAAAACTGGATTTTATGGGCAATATGTAAATATGAGTTTAGGTAATTTTACTTGGTAATTAACCTTATGCTAGCTGAAGATATGTCTTATTCTTGCCACACATTGCTTTTTATTTTTTGTATTAATGCTTCCTGTATTTTTGCCTTTTTCTCTAACAGGTTGTAGTTTCTTTAAACATAAAGAGTATGATTTTTTAAAAAGTATTCTCCAGTAATATCTGCATTTCTTTCATTAGCTAAGACACTTAATAAAAGTTGGTGAATGGTAATGATGAGATGATATATCGAGAACTGTGCTTTCTATTTAGAGGTGAATTCAATGTAGAGCCGAAGATGTTATCTTTAGCTCCACATAGGGCCTGGATATTAGATAGTTTCATATGTGACTAAAGATAGAAGAGTTTCTAATACCCATTTTGCATTCTTTTCTTTTCTTTCTTTTTTGAGACAGAATCTTGCTCTGTCTCCCAAGCTGGGGTACAGTGCACTATGTCAGCTCACTGCAACCTTCGCTTCCCAGGTTCAAGTGATTGTCCTGCCTCAGCCTCCCAAGTAGCAGGGACTACAGGTGTACACCACCATGCCCAACTAATTTTTGTATTTTTAGTGGAGACAGGGTTTCACCATGTTGACCAGGCTGGTGTTGAACTCCTGGCCTCAAGTGATCTGCCCGCCTTGGGCTTCCAAAGTGCCAGGATTACAGGTGTGAGCCATCACGCCTGGCCTCTATTCTACATTTTTAAAAGCATCAAGTTTGCTCTGAACTTAGGACCTTTGTGCTAGCTGTTTCCTCTATTTTGCAATACCCTTTTCATAGATTTGCTAATTACAGTCTCCTTCTTGCATCCATGTGTCAGCTCAAATGTCATCTTTTTAGAGGGCTCTCAGGATCACTCAGTTTACAGTGTTTCTCGTACTGATATTTTCTTATTTCTGGGATTCTTATTTTTGAAATTTCTTTTTTCTGGTGTTTACTTATTGTGTTTCTTTATTAGAATGTAAACCAGTGCATGAGAAAGTCCTCATTTATCTCACCTGGCTATTTTTCCAGGATCTGGGATTTTGATTAGGCATATAGGAAACGTTCAGTGAATATTTTTGATGTTAAACAAGTGTTTGTTTCATATTAAGTAAATATATTTTTGATGTTGCTATAACACCTTGGTAATTAGAACTTCTCAAATAACATTAAGCAAGAACATATCTGACTTTCTGTGTGGTTGTGTTTACTTGTATGTTTATGGAATTTAGGCAGGAAAATAATACCTTGCTGCCTCTCTCAAGGAGTTCCTTGTCTAATGAAGTAAAGTAGATGGCAGATGGTGAACAATTACTTGCAGCATGATAGAGTGAAGACAAAGCAGACAGTGCAGTCAGGGCACCCATAGTAGACTTGCAGGGCAGGATCAGAAAGGGTATAATGGAGACTTCAAGTGCTTACCCATGTTTTTTTCTTCTCTCCATCTGGATCTTCTGGGAAAATGATATGGCCTAGGTTCCTTGCAGCTAGGCATGGCCTTCTTACTAGCTCTAACCAGTGCACTGTGGACAGAAGTGGTGGTCTTCTGAGTCGAAGGAGTAAGAATAAGGATTACAGCCCTTCAGATCCTTATTACTCTGTTGTGGCAGTGCTGGAAGCACATGTTAAAATGACAAAGTCACAAGGAGACAGGACTGGCATTTACTCTTGGGAGAGAGCTGCCATGGAGAGCTGTCACATCTGCCATGGACTTTGAGTGAGAAATCAGCCTTTGTGGTATAAGCCACTGGGATTTCAGGGCTAAGTTGCCACCTGACCATAGCATAGTATGTTCTAGTACAGAATACAGGGAGGAGATGACCTCTGAACTGAGTTTTGGAGGGCCACGAACAAGACTGGACAAAATCTGCATGTTAGAAACTCTGTTCCATCTTGCCAAGATAGAACCTGGTCCCTTAAAAGAGTAGAAGCAAGTTTAGAGATAAATGTAGGTTAATGTTCCAGATGCTAAAGAGGTAGCAGAGTCTAAGTGTCAGATATGTCAGAAGAACACACCATAAAATCCTGATATCCAAGGGCCCTGGTAGGCCAAGTGCTGATGGTGCTCTGTCAGCCGTCCCCAGCTTGTCTGATTTAAGGCCTATTGTGTTCACTCTGCTTTTACAAATACATTTCCCTTTTCTGAAAATGACTGCATGTAATAGCAGTTGGCAGAGGTGACCAGAATAAAACACTTTACCCTTTGTGATGTGTACATCCAGAAATGCCTTTAATCTTTAAATGCACCCATTTATGTTTTTTGGTAATGAGCCACTTTTGTTGAGTTTAATGGTAATTTCATCTGTCATTATTTTTCAAAAGCAACTTTTAGAGTATTTTTACTCTTGGAAGTATATAGAAATGACTATATTTTCCATGCAGACATCAATTTAGTTTATGCATTTTATAAAGAATTCCCAAACAGTGGCTTATTCTTATTTACAAATCATTTCTCCCCCTTTGCTGTATGAGTTGTGTTTTATGAAACAACAACCATGATGTGAGGAGGAGTCTGTCTGATCAGAGGCAGAATTAACATTGCTTGAAAGAGCAGCATTCTTTCTGTGTACTCAAGTTAATTGGTGCAGTAATTTAATCATTGAGCCTCTGTTCACATTTCATGTGTAAGTCACTTAAACCTGAGATTTTTTTCTTTTGCTTTTTTCGAACGTCTAGGTTGATGAGCATTTAAATAAATTTGTAGCATTTAAAAATGTCCTCAAAACTGATTGCAGCATGACGGCCCTCAGATTTTGTATTCAGTT